ACACAGTTGCAAAATTCGATAACAATGCCGCTGCGGGATGAAAAATAATGTACACTACAAACTAGACTAAATACAGAAACAGGGTTCATAGACCGACCGTTTTCAGAGGAACATAAATGATGACATCGTGTTGTCCACACCTTATCGACTTTCTTCATACCAAGTGGTTCATTGATTCAAAACACAATCTAATGGGCTTTGTTTTTTCATTAGAAGCTTGTAGTACGGTAGCAGTTAAATGAAAAAGACAGATTAATAAATATGTTAGAGAATTGAATTCAATGTGTCTGATTTACCAAACACCATCAGTTTTAATGCCTGTGCGTAGAGCAACTAAAAGTATCGATGAAAAACTGAACTCTTTATGTAACTTGATTACACATATTTCGCTCCATAGGAGTTTCTCTTATTGGAGATTTTCCTCATGGAGTTCCCCATCAGTTCCACATTCTGTCACAAACAACCCAATGAACGTAAACCATGGGATAATGGCAAACACAAGCAACTGAATGATATTGAACGCAACTGAAATGTGTATAATTGTAGGTATTAAGTACAAAGTAAACTTGCGCTTAGTTACGTTTGTTGAACCCATATACAATATCGGGACAAATGAGTTTTCCGAAAAAGTTCAGATATACTTGAATAGACGATTAACGAGTTCAAAGGGAACACCAGTCATTAAAACTAGTGGGTAGAGTTTATCTCAGGGAATTCTCATTCTGTGGTACCGTTTACGGAGAGTGCTTGCGTGAAATTAACTGAAAATACGTTTGTTGTCCTGGGTCAGAAACAGTGGGGAAATTCGATCATCCATATCAAAGGATGTTCTTTTTACTTGTCCCATGTTGTCAAACGAGGGTGGTGTCTGTGGGAGGCATAACTGTTATTAAGGTCATACAATAATTAGCAATTTTACTATCGTGGCTCTGATGACGATTCCATTTTCACCCATTTGACCCTACCACTTGACCGCCCCGCCGTTCTGTTCCTAACTATCCAGGATATATTATTGAAATCGGTCATTTAAGGACATGTCTAATAAATTGCATGACTCGACTTCTCGCTGGGTAAATTGACTCACCCCCCCCACCAAGCCAGACACAGTTCAGGTGGGATTCAGTGTTTTAGTGCAATACGTGCATGCTAGATGTCGAAAATATCATGGTTTTCATACGCTAAATACTCATGATCAAAGGACGGGATGCATGCAGGTATTCTTTCAAGAACTCCGTTCCTGGAGTTCAGTGGAAACAAACAACACAATGGAATATTGACAAACCCAGCATTTACGCCATCTTTATTGTTGTCTGACAGCTGCAAATTTCTAATAGACTTTGGTTTCTATCAACTTGACAGAGCTGAACTGATGCTCGAGTACTCAAGAAGCATCAGCAGCGTAGAGTACGTAACCTCATAGGAGCTGAAATCTTCAATAATAAAAAGATGAGAACTACCTCAAATCTGAGGGTGTGCCAAATGAACATTCATCAATTATGCATAATGACTTGATGCTACCGTATATCTATCAATAACCGCGTGGGACTGTCAGGCCCAATATACATAATCCAAATTCCAAGTTCCAATCCAAAGTGTCCACATAATTGTAAAAAGAACCAGAAGCGTATACATCACACGATTTTCTACGAAAAATGAAAGTTGTACTTGAACATTCAACCAATAATAACAACAATGGATGTTGGCAGTCCGATGCCCTTATCAAGCATCAGTAGCCAGTAAATCTATAAATCAATGTGATTGAAAGTGTGCACAACTGATAACCTAATGAATACATCGATGTGCATTTGATAAAAATGGCCCAGTCTAGAAATCCATTTCGATTCAGTATGTTGTATGGGAATTAAATGATTACTTTTCTGCTTCATCACATTCCCTACCACGCATCAGTCCACCTTTTTAAGTTGATAGTTATCACGTATGATCCGTTAGCAGATCCAAATATCTTAGCATCATAAGACTTCCCGGACCGACCGGGATTCGGGTAATTTGTTGAAACACTTTCGAGGTAAGCTAAACATGAACAGTAAGCGAATTCATTTATGTGGTTAACGTGTTAGAAATCAGCTGACTTTCGACCTGGATCACTAACTGGGTCATCTAAATACCCAGATCTCAGTTTCAGCTGGTGGTGATAACAAGCGATCGATCGTGCGATTTCTATGTCGAAACCGGGGTATCTGGTAAAAGGAGAGAGCAAGGAGGACAGGGCGAAGGTGACAGCAGTACTTGTAAAACCCTAAAGCACTCAACGCACACCAGCCAATCCATTTCGTTCAAGACTCAGTTATCGTACAAAGAGGTAGAATATTCAGTACATAGAATTAAGTAGCCACAGATGATGACTCTATTTCTTAACCCACCATATTTACCTACGGAGTATTTGGAAAAGCGTTTTGATACGCAACGGTGCAATGAGGCGGTGTGTGAAAACCGCAATCTATTGGAAGCCGATATTCATCTCATCATACGCCCTTCGGACGGGATCAAACGTCCAAGGAGCCCAATACACCTCGATACCCAATCGAGCCGATGACCACTACCAAGACCAGNGAAATCTGTGGGTGTGTGGTTCGTACACCTTTTACTGTTTGGTTTGGTTAAGAGTTTGTTGTAGAACTGTTGGCAAGTGCTGGAAGTAATATTTATCACTACGAAGAAACTATAGTCTATTTCCGAACCCATGATTTTGGAAGAAAACAAAGCCGAACGAATTGGATAATTTATACCTCGGCCATCCCATTCGATTGTCAACGTAAAGGTAAACGATTGGTCATGTTCTCAGATACGCTTTCCATAACTGATTTGTCACTTGATAGTCTTAGATGGTAATCAAGAAGCAACTGCCTATAAATCGTAATTAACCGTTTCCTTTGTTGATCATCATAGTAATGGCAGGTGGAATCACATTTCTCACACACGCGATACGCCACAAAGGGGTGGCAAACTTTTGCAAAATGAATTTGAGCAATGATATTCTATTGAGTTATGAGAATCTATATTAGTAATGTACTGTTCATGTAGTTTGACAATGAATTAAGATCAATTCGCGAATATTTTTATACGGAATCAGTTATGGAAGATCTCAACATTTTTTGATTTATAGTGACTTCGGTATGTGAAAACGACCATGGCAGTGTTTCTTTCCTTGGAAATAAATCAATAATAATAATAATAATAAATATAACTAAGGCACACATTCCGGTACTGGACCAGCTCTGTTGAAGAATATGATCGTTCAAAGCCAGTTGGCGAAAGCCACCTGTGAATGTCACATCTTAGCCTCGATCGGCCTGGTTTACACCATTGTAGGAACATGTAGCCTAAAGAGGCGATATAATTTCGGCCATATAAATTGCCCAATTCGGAAGTAATACTCATAGAAGAGTATTTAAAAACTTCCTATGATTGAACCCAGAATTTGATGAGCTTCAGCTCTCTTTACGCTATTTCAAATGCAGCTTTTTTGATTGAGATGTTTTATTCAGTTTCGGATACATGATTACTATGGTCATTTGCTGCATGTAGGGTAGAAAGTGGAATGTGGCTTCTGTGGTGGTAACATAAAAATAACAACTTACAGGCGGCGTACTAAGTGGATGTGAATGTAGCTGAAATTGGGACTTTGATCGAAAATGATCAACCGATGTAAACTTGACATCGCACGGGAAAGGACACTCCTACGGCCGAGATACGCCAAGGGTTTTATGGTGTGTGACTAATGATTGTGTGACTGAGACATATCGCAACGTATCCTATGCGGTTCAACAATAGACAGAGAAATCTGTGCTGAATGGTAATCATCCAAGCACAGTTGTAAGGCTTGATTTCTATGTGGGACTCATAGTTCCAATGAGGGTGTTCATGGGAAAGCTTGAAATGATACTGAGACAACTGGAAATGATGCCCATACATACTAATTTGATAGTCTGAAAACTGAATTCGTAAAATTATAGAGTGATAGTCGAACGGTGTGTTGAAAGTGGATTCTAAATAATTATCGTAATACATGGAATATGGGAAAAAGTGAGCAAGTAAGTACTACTTTGTATTTTTCAGTGTGAATAGTCAAACAAGTCTTCTCATCGGAAACAAATCTACCTACGAATTTTCAGTTCCTAATCTGGTTTTGTCGTATCACTCACACGCAATTTGGAAGATTTGTTTATCGCAACTCATGATTGGTCAGGTTTAGTAGAGTAAAACCAAAAGTAATGAACCTCTCTTTGTCTGAATTAAAATGTTGTTCATTTGGTTCTGTGGCCAGGTTTGAGGAATCTCATTGTATGAAAAGCAAAATGCTCAACTTTGTTTTACTTCTAAAATAAACTGAACACTCCCATCTGTGTGCGAATGAGTTTTTACCTCTTTTGGTCTTTCCCGGCAATTACGTAGACAAGAGATAGTCAAAATGTAGCCTAGGTATTAATACCGCTCGTCAACTCCATTCTAAAGGCTCTCTCCTTTTAAACTTTTGTCTATGGATTTGAGGATCTTTCGATGAGACTTCATTCAAACGATTGCATGATGCAAGCTCGATCCGGTTTATAATCTCCTAATAATCTCGATAAATCGATTTGTGTGACCGACTGAATTCACCATAGCTATTGCGAACTAAAACATACTCAGTTAAAAACGATGACTAAGAGTTTTCCGATTTAACAGAAACAATTCAAGTTGTGAATTCTGTTTCAAAAATCATGTACGTGAACGTACTCTGGTGGTCACCTCTGAATACTGTATTTTTCCAGATGATGTTTGGATTTACCGAGTGATTTTTGGATAATTATTTTACCTGACGACTGTCATCTCTGTTATCCACGCCTTTTATGTTTATTCTTCTACACAATTGGTTTTCTTACTTACACGTCTCTGATTATTCATGAGAGGTTGCAGTGTAAAATATTTCAATGAAAGATACTATATATGCATGAATCAAAATAAATCCAGTTAGCAAGCGTTATTTGGTTTGTCTGACTCACTTCTTCTTGTCCAGTTCCTCGCAAATTTCATGAAATGATGGTCTTGGACTTTCATCGACCAGTACGTTTTCAGCCCCACTCACAGTAGTTGTCGCCTTGACGTCTTGCTCTGTTTGTATGGTATGTTCTACCTTTGCAATATTCGACTCGGTCAGAGGATGTATTTCCTCTTTCTTTTCGACGAAATGCGCCACCAATTCTTCTTGTTCTTCTTCCTCTTCCGGAGGCACGTCATCATGATAGCTACTTCCGCCATCATAACTGATTCGATAGTCCGCTTCGACGCCATTTGTACTCGATCCAGTCGGATGAGTAGGGCTTTCATGATTGATTTTTTCCAGAGTCTCAAAAGCAGGATAATCTGTGAATTCTTGTACCGCTGGGTCAGCCATGATCTCAGAAACGCCAACCGTGGTGCTCATAGACGTGTCGTTAGCTACTGGACCGGACACGTGACCGGAAGATTCAGCCTCTCGGATGAAAATAGGGGTTACTGCAGAACCAACAATCTGAAATTTATAGTCAATAGTTGGTGTAGATTCTTCGCTGGTTGGCTGATATTCTACAGACAATGTGATTGTCTGATCAGCCGAGTGAACTTCAGTACGCGGGACAGAATCCACGTGAGCAACAAAAGTTTCACTGATCTGATCTGCTTCTGGTTTAAAATGACCTAAATTAGCCGACTCTGATAGAGTAAAATCAAATATTTCAGTGGTAGGGTGAAACTGATCACCGACAGGATGCTGAAAGGTTTGATCAGCGTTATCGCTACCTAACGGCTCTAGATCCTCAAGCAGTTCTTTCTGTGGCGTTGGAACTACCGGAACTTCCTGGGCAACGAGTTCGGAAGGCACAACTCGAAAAGGGACAAAACTCCCTTCACTCAAGGGATCAGTCTCCAAAGAAGGAACTTCTGCAGCTGATTCACTGTGGGGAACTCGTGACTCCTTTGAATGTTTTTCAGTTGACTGTTCAGGTGTAGTATGCGTGTCTGGTAACTGAGTTGACAATTCCGATTGCAACAAATAGTATTGACTTCCAATTGATCTGCAATCAGGTGCCCCACTTTTATCA